ACACCTTTAAGAATTTCTATTTCTCCTCCTATCTCATACATCAATCACCTCTTTATACTAAAATAGTGTACACTAAAACACTCTTCTATAACAACCCAGTCAATGATGGTAAAACCAGTCTCTGGATATCCCCAAACTGATCCCCAAAGATATATCACACTAACAAAATCTGAAGCCAAAATTATTTTTTACAAATGTCACAAAGATTATTTTTCCAAAAAAACAGTCATCACTGGTCTATAATTTAGACAGTAAGTTCCAAGTTGTTTAATGTGAGAAGTACTCCAATATCAATGAGGTGATGTTTCAGAAAACACATTTTGCAAATTGAAAAGGCACTAAACAAACTGTTGGTAAAAAATAACATTAATGAATATTTACTATAATCCCCTCTCAAAAGTATTATATTTAAGATACTGACCTGCAGTAATATACTGTGCTGAAGCCATTTCCCCTGAAGCTCTCAAGGCACCTGCATACCTAGAAAAGTTAAGGTAGAATAATAAGATTCAATTCATTCTGAAACTCAAGTGGAAAGAGACCAGTTAAAAGGACTTACTATGCTACCCTCGACTACAGATTTCTCAGAGCTGTTCCCACCTTTCTATTTTCTTTTCTTCTACTCTTGCTCCTTTAAGCATACGAGCAAAATAGAGTGCTAAGAAAAAAGACAATTCAGCCTACTTTAAATTCTTTCCCCTTGTCCAATTCATCTAAAAATTACATTTTCTGAAAACAAAAAGTACACATTTAATGTTCTATTATTAAAAAAAATAAGTAAAATGATTTCAGAAATAACAAGGAAGAAAAAAGCACTGGCTCAAAAACATTAAATCAAAAATCACACACCTACATTCAGCACTAACTTCTACTAACATTAAATAAGTCACCTGAATTTTAAGTCAGTTGTTCATCTGTAAAATAAGTTTATACTAAATGATTTCTAAATTCACCTTCAGTTTTATGATTCTCAATGAATTTACAACAGTACAAAAGTTTGGCCATCCAAAGAAAATACTCAATCAAAAATTATCATTCACTACACAGACCAATGGAACAGAACTGAGAATCCAGACGTAAATTCATCCACCTATGAGCAGCTGATATTTGACAAAGTCCCAAAGTCTGTTAAATGGGAAAAGACAGTCTCTTTAACAAATGGTGCTGGCATAACTGGATATCCATCCGCAAAAAACTGAAACAAGACCCATATCTCACACCATGCACAAAAACTAACTTAAAATGGATCAAAGACCTAAATATAAAATCTAAAATGATAAAGATCATGGAAGGAAAAATAGGGACAACACTAGGAGCGCTAACACATGGTATAAACAGAATACGGAACATAACTAACAATGCACAAACACCAGAAGAGAAACTAGATAACTGGGAGCTCCTAAAAATCAAACACCTACATGCTCATCAGAAGACTTCACCAAACAAGTAGAAAGACAGCCTACAGACTGGGAAAAAATTTTTGGCTATGACATATCCGATCAGGGTCTAATCTCTAAAATCTACAAGATACTGTAAAACTTCAACCACAAAAAGAAAAATAACCCAATTAAAAAATGGGCAAAGGATATGAACAGGCATTTTGCCGAAGATGACATTCAGGTGGCTAACAGATACATGAGGAAATGCTCACAATCATTAGCCATTAAGAGAAATGCAAATCAAAACTACAATGAGGTATCATCTCACCACAACAAGGCCAGCATTAATCCAAAAACCACAAAATAATAAATGTTGGACAGGTTGTGGACAGACTGGAACACTTATACACTGCTGGTGGGAATGTAAAATGGTACAACCACTTTGGAAATTGATTTGGCGCTTCCTTAAAAAGCCAGAAATAGAAGTACCATAGGATCCAGCAATCCCACTCCTTGGAATATATCCTAGAGAAATAAGAGCCATCACACGAACAGATATATGCACACTCATGTTCACTGCAGCACTGTTCACAATAGCAAAAAGATGGAAACAACCCAGGTGCCCATCAGTGGATGAATGGATAAACAAATTATGGTATATCCACACAAGGGGATACTACGCAATGATGAACAATGATGAATCTGCGAAACATCTCAGAACGTAGATGAATCTGGAAAGCATTATGCTGAGTGAAATTAGTCAGCTGCAAAACGACAAACATTATATTGGAACGTTATTATAAGAATTCAAGAAAAGGTTTAAACACAGAAGAAAATATTCTTTGATGGTTACGAGGGTGGGAGGGAGGGAGTGGGTTATTCACTAACTATATAGTAGACAAGAATTATCTTAGATGAAGGGAAGGACAACCCACAATACAGGGGAAGTCAGCACCACTGGACTAAACCAAAAGCTAAGAAGTTTCCTGAATACAACCAAACACTTCGAGGGACAGAGTAGCAGGGGCGGAGGCCTGGGGACCATGGTTTCAGGGGACATCTAGGTCAACTGGCATAACAAAGTTTATTAAGAAAAGGTTCTGCATCCCACTTTGGTGAGTGGCGTCTGGGGTCTTAAAAGCTAGCAAGCAGCCATCTGAGATGCATCAATTGGTCCCAACCCACCTGGAGCAAAGGAGAATAAATAACATCAAAGACACAAGGAAAATATTCACCCGAGAGACAAAAGGGGCCACATAAACCACTGACTCCATCATCCTGAGACCGGAAGAACTAGATAGTGCCTGGCTACCACCAATGACCACCCTGACAGCAAACACAACAGAGTCCTGATAGGGCAGGAGAAAAGTGGGGTGCAGAACTCAAATTCTAGTAAGAAGACCAGACTTAATGGTCTCACTGAGACTGGAGGGATCCCGAAAGACATGGCCTTCAGACTGTCTGTTAACCCAGAACCAAAACCATTCCCGAAGCCAACTCTTCAGACAAAGAATAGACTGGACTATAAGACATAAAACGATACTCGTGAAGAGTGTACTTCTTAGTTCAAGTAGATACACGAGACTAAATGGGCAGCTCCTGTCCAGAGGTGAGAAGAGAGGGCAGACAGAGACAGGAGCTGGGTGAAAGGACACAGGAAATCCAGGGTGGAAAGGAGGAACGTGCAGTCACATTATAGGGATAGCAGCTAGGGTCACATAACAATGTGCGTACAAATTTTTGTATGAGTAACTAACTTGAGCCGTAGACTTTCACCTAAAGCACAATAAAAAAAAAAAGAGAGAACGAAAATTATCATTCACATAGCACCAAACATGGGGGGAGGAGAGTTTGCATGTTCACTATGATTAAAACTATGTTTACATAATACACACCCACTAGAGTGACTAACAAGAAGACGACTGACATCATCCAATATGGCAAGAATGTGGAGCAACCACAACTACTGATACAATAAAACATGGATGAATCTCAAAAACTTTACGCTGAGTAAAATAAGCCAACCCAAAAAAGAGGAAAGTATATCCTGTATGATTCCATTTATTTTAAGTTTCAGAGTAGGCAAAACTAGTATGAGCCCAAACAGTCCTTGGCCTGGCGCTTCTAATATGAGACCAAAACTAATATGAGACTAAAGAGTCCTTGGCCTGACACTTCCACTCCTAGGTAAATACCCAAGGGACTTGAAAGCGACAACATGAACAGACACTTGTACATCAATGTTCACTAGAGCACTATTCACAATAGCCAAAAGGTGGCTATTGTGTCCATCAACAAATGAACGGATAAACAAAGTGTGGAACATATATACAAGGGAATACTACACAGCCATAAAGAGAAATGAAGTCCTGGTACATGCCACAACATGGATGAACCTTGAAAACATTATGTTGAGTGAAATAAGACAATTACAAAAGGACAAATGTTACATGACTTCATCTATATGAAATGACAAGAACAGGCAAATGTATTGAGACCAAAGTTTATTAGTGGTTACCAGGGGCAGAGGAAGGGAGACAAAGGGGAGCCACTGTTTGGAAAGTGAGTTTCTGCTCATGATGATGGGAAATGTGGCATCGATTGTGGATAATGGTTGTACAACATCATTAATGTAATTGATAACATTAAGCTGCACACCTGAAAAACGCTGAATGGTCAAATGTTGTGTTAAAATTTGAACAGCCTTATCTAATGAATACAGAACAAACAAAACTACAAAATTAAATGCTTTCATTACTACGTAAGAACAAATAAATGATCCAAGCATGCAACTTAAAAAGTTAGAAAACAAAGAAGAAAACCAGCCTTAAGTAATTAATACAAACAAAAGTAGGGTGAATTACATAACTGAAAGAACTGAATGACTAAATCTAATAGCTGATTCTTTGAAAAATAAAATACACAAACCTCTGGCAAGATAATCAAGGGAGAAAAAACTACAATAAATACAAAATGAAAAGGAGAAAAAAATACAGGTCCAAAAACAGAATAATTCTTATGGTAATATATTTTAAAGACATAAAGACAAACTTGTAAGAAAACATGAATTACCAAAATTGACTCTAAAAGAAACAGAAAATGTACATATAAAATGCCAAAAAAACCCGACTTGGCCAGCCAAGTTTATGGGCAAGCTCTTTAAGAACAGATAATTCCTATACAAATTTGAAGGGGGGGGGGGAGTTCTAATAATGGAACAGATGGAAAGTTTTTTTCAGCTTATTTTACATATACCAAAAAAAAAAAAACCCCCGCTGCCATCGAGTCAATTCCAACTCATAGCGACCCTGTAAGACAGAGCAGAACTGCCCCATAGGGTTTCCAAGGAGCAGCTGGTGGATTGGAACTGCTGACCTTTGTGGTTAGCAGCCTGAGCTCTTAACCACTACGCCACAAGGCATCTCGGTAGCATAATCCCAATACTAAATCCTCAGAAAATTTCTTAAAAAAGCCAAAACTATAAATCAGTCTTACTAATAAATCATTAAATAAAATAGCAGCAAATCACATTTAGTGCTACATATTGAAAAAATGCAAATATTTTAAAAATATAAAGATGGTTTACTGTTAAGCTAGTTATTAACATATCATTCAAATAGGCTCAATAAGAAAAACCTTAAGACTATGTCAACCAATACCACTGGAAAATTTTAACATATATTTCTCATTAAAAAAAAAAGTAAATGAAGGAAGGATTAGTTTCTTGACATGTTTAAGAATATTTCTATAAAATCAAAGGCCAATATCTCTTAACATTAAAACACAACATTCTTATTAAAATTAAAACAAGAGGAGAATGTCCATCACCATGTAATATTTAACACTGTGCTCAAAGTTCTAGCCAGTGAAATAAGACAAGAAAGAAACATGAGGTGAATTATCTAAAATAGAACTATCTCAATTAGTAGACGATAAGATTATCTACTTAGAAAAATCCAAAAACTAACTGGAAACTTGACTTATTTTCTTAATTGTAAAATGTCACAAGTATAATGATACATTTTCAGGCAAAACTAAAACTACTACGTACATTAAAAATATACATGTAAGGGATATTTAAAGTTTGGAAGGGGGGGATGCATCTTAGAACCCAGGAAATATGATGTTTGGAATTAATAAGTCAGATTCTTCCTTATTATCTAGCAAGGTCAATAATAGAGTTATCAGGAGAAACTTATCTAATATTATAAAATACAAAAACTCAAAAAACACTTGGAAATTAAATACATGAAGAAAATCAATCTTACTGTAAAGTCAAATAAGAACTGAAAAACTGGTGAGACATTCTATATTCTTGGATGGAAAGTCTAAATTTTACAGAGATGTCAACTTGTCCAACTTAAAGCCATTACGGTCAAACTCTCAAAAGTGAGCACTCCTACTACACATGCAGCTAGGAGAAAGGCACATTTAACAAAACGACTCAACTTCACAAAGAAATAAAACAAACTTCACAGACTACCCAGGAATACACTGAAACAGAGAAAGAAGGGGTGTAGAGTACTACTACATAGTTACAATGGTATGATACCAACACAAATAAAAACCAGGCCTTGATAAATAAATCCAGTTAAAAGACCAAGAAACAGGTGTCAGAAATATTTAAGAATAATGTATATGCTAAAAGTGTCATTTCAAATCAATGTGGACTGATTATATAATGGTACTTAGAGAAAAAGAGAAAACTAGACCATTACTTCACACCAAAAGAGAAAGACAAATCATCAATAAACATAAATTGTTCAGTCTCACTAGTGATCAAAGAACTAAAAAAAAATTAAATACCCTATCCTTATGTCAAACAAAATTTACCACAATAATTTTTAAAATTAATGAATATTTGCAGGATGTGGCACATTCTATTTTTCTACCTTTTTAGATAACAATTTTGCAATATAAATATGTAAAGGCTTAAAACTATTCACCTAACTTATTAACCTGGCAATTCCACTTCTAGAAATTAACTACAAAGGATCACGTGCATAGGATGTACTGCAGCATTAATAATATCTAAGCATAAAAGCAAAGGATGGGAGCACAAATTTAAGACTATTATAATTGAATACAAAAAAATAACATATTTTGCTACACATGTTAAAAAATAAATAACCAAAAGATACACAAACCTTAATCCTGAGTAATTACTTTCAACTTGTTTTTGATCAAAAAATTTTCAGTAGTGGAAAAATCCACCAATTTGAAATGAAAATGAGAACCATAATGCAATATGACTTCACACCTGCTAGGATGGCTATAATCAAAAAAATAGTAACAAGTGTTAATGAGGATGTAGAGAAACTGGAACCCTCTTACGTCACTGCTAAGAATGTAAAATGGTATACTGCCGCCCCTTTGGAAAAGTTTGGCAGTTCCTCAAAATGTTAAACATAAGAGTTGCCACCCAAACCCCAAACCCACTGCTGTTGCGTTGATTCCTATTCATAGCAAATCTATAGGACAGAGTAGTAACTGCCCCAGAGGGCTTCCAAGGCTGTAATCTTGTATGGAAGCAGACTGCCACATCTTTCTCCTGCAGTTACCACATGACCTGGCAATGCCATTCCCAGTTATATAATCAAGGAAAATGAAAATACACCCACACAAAAACCTGAACACAAATGTCCATAGCAGCATTATTTATAATAACCAAAAAGTGAAAAAAACCCAAACGTTCATTAACTGATGACTGGATAAATAAAATGTGGTATATACATACAATGGAATATTATTCAGGCATAAAAAGGAATGAAATACTGATAGCGTTATAACATGGAAGAACACTGAAAATATTATGCTAATAAAAGAAGCCAGTAACAAAAACACCACATATTGTGCAATTCCATTTATATGAAATATCCAGAATGGACAAATTTACAGACAGAAAATAGACAGATGGTTGCGCCTAGGGCTTGTGGGGATGGGGGGGTGGGGGGAGGCGAGGTGCAGGAGTAGGAAGAGTGACTGTTAACGGGTATAAGGTCTCTTTTTGGGGGAGGAAAGAAAATTATCTAAAATTAGATTGTGGTGATGGTTGCACAATCTTGTGAAAATAATAAAAACCACTGAACTGTATATCTTAAATGGGTGAATTTCATGGTAAATGAATTATATCTCAATAAACCTGCTTTAAAAAAATATATAAAACAGCTCTACTCACTCAAATGTGAACCTCTCTTACCCAAAGAAGACTTAAAACATTTCTCTTGAGGCTTACCTTTTAAGGGCATCTTTGAGTTCAGGCACAGAACGGATACACTGAACTGTAGCATTCATGTAACAAGTGTTACCAAGGTTTGTCAATCCACATGGTAATTCCATCTGGTATGAAGAAAGTTTAAATCATTTGTATAAATTAATGACATGGCATATATAAAATCACTAAAGTTCAGACTCTAAGGCAAGTCCTATTTACCAACTCCTACCATTTTAGTCCTCCTTCACCCTAAAGTAACAATGTTTTATTTCCTCGCGTCATGCTGACAATCATTGTGTTTCAGTTCCCTTCTTGAAAACAAGAGATCATTATCAGTCCTGCCTCCCTCCAGGCTTGTGAGAATAGAGCAGCACAGTATACACAGAAACACTTCAAAAAAACAAACACAAAAAAATGAATGACACTACATAGATGCTGTGTAGTATAAAAAAATAATATTTGCCACTTATGTGTTGACCACTTGCTAAACCGACTTTGTATTTAAATTAAGGATAAACTGTATGTATTTTCAACAACGACGGTTTTTAATAATTTGAACATCCCAGCATTTAAAATATTTAATCTCTCTGAGCCTGTTTCTCCATGAAATGAGAGTAAATACTTACACAGCACTTACTGTCAGACACATATTTATTACAGATATTGACTTTATGTGTGCGTGTATGTGTATCTTACAATAATCCTCACCTGTAAAATAAGCTTAATTATAATACCTACATCTCATAGAGTTTTGAAGCTTAAAACCATCAGCCGTGAATTACAAACTTTATGTTCATTTGAAAGTTAGAAAAGCAATAATAGTCTAAGCATACAATATTTTTTTAAAAATACACTAATTTTATGAATTACCTAACTAGAGAAGGACTCCCTTAAGCCAAGTGCAAAAATAATAAAACTCCTATTGACTAGTGAAAACATACATCTTGACATTAACGATAAAATCTTAAAAATACTTTGATGCTACTTTCTGAAAGACATAACTATCCTTTGAAAAGTACTGATCTAACATGACATTTGATATGTCTTACAGCAGATGCTAACTGTTCTTCCGTCATGTCTTCTACGAAGACGGTTTTAGCTGAGGGTTCCTCAGGAAGAGCATCTGCTGAGCCCATCATTAGTAGGTTCATTCCCTGTTTAAAAAAAAAAAAAAGTAATTTCACAAAAATCCATATAAGTCGATAATGTTTATGCCTAATGAAAGATGCCAGACACAAAACAACACATATCGCATGATTCTACTGATATAAAATGTCCAAAAGAGGCAAACCTATAGAGATAAAAAGTAGATTACTGGTTGCCAGGGGCTGTGAGGAGGGGGAAATGAGAAGTGACTTTAAATGGCCACAAGGTTTCTTTCTGGGGCGATGGAAATGTTCTTAAATTACATCGTGTCGATGATCACACAACTCTGTAAATACACTTAAAAAAAAAGGAGAGGTGGTGGCTGCCTGAGGCCAGGGGTTACCTACTTGTCTGCAAAGGGGCATGAAGAAACTTTTTAGAGTAATGGGACTTCTTTCTCTTGATTGTGGTGGTGGTTACGAGACTGAATAAAATTACCCAAATTCATCAAACTGTACACTAAAAAGGGGTGAACTTTACTGTACTTAAATTATACAAATTATAAAGCTGGGAGAAAAACAAATACTGCCATAAAAGAAGCTGATAATATTTAAAACATGGAGAAGGGAAGATCTTCAAATGATCATTACCATTTTGTGGTATTTCTTCCTATAACAAAGAATCTAACCACTGATAACATTCTCTTTGTGATATGTCTATTGTATAACAATAATGATTATTTACATTTAAATACAAGTATTTTCAGAACACTAAAACCTCCATTTTTGGAAAACATCAAACCAAAAATTAGGACAGAATATGTAATTTTATAATTCTATACATTATCAACCTAAGTAAATACTTACATTTAATGAATATTCAATACAAGTATAACATCCGATACACTAGAATACAAACACTGTTACCTCAAATCTCATAATACTGAAATGTGAACAACATATTACTCACTATATTATTTGAAGGACTGAACACAGGATAAAACGGGGCCAGAAGTGGAGATAAAAAAAAAGAGAAAAAACAACCAGGGAAAATAAAAATACTCAGATGCGAGTAAGAGTAGGAAAAAAACTCAATTACGAAAGTCAGCATATTCACTGTCTTAAGAGTGCCTAGGCTGAAATCCAGTAATCTTCATTCTATCACCTTTTCTTGTATTAACAAATATTGTATGATCTCACTTACATGAAACGTCTAGAATAGGCAAATCCATAGAAACAAAAGTTAGGAAGGTTGAGGGGAGGGGAAAATAGGGAGTTATTGCTTAAGGGGTACTGAGTTTCTGTTTGGGGTGATGAAAAACTTTTGAAAATAGAGGTGAAAGTTGCTCTAGGTGATGAACATAATTGATGCCAATGAACTGTATATGTAAAAATGGTTGAAAGTGGCAAATTTTTTGTTATATTTTAACACAATAAAGAGAAAGAAAGAAATGGTTACAATGACAAATATGATGTTACATATATTTTTAGCACAATTTAAAAAAAAAGTAAAAACTATTCTTAACTCCTGGCCTAACAAAAAAGGCCAGAGGCCAGACGTGGCCCTCAGCTCAGTTTGATAACCCCTACTTTACACTCTTAAAACTTACTAAGAACTCCAAATAGCTCCTATGTGGATTTATCTGTAAATATTTACCATATTAGAAATTAAAAGTGAAAGTTTTTAATAATATTCATTTTAAAATAATAAACCCATTTAATGTTAACATGAGGAGCCCTGGTGGCACAGTGGTTAAAGCACTCAGCCAACCAAAAGGTCGGAAGTTCAAACCTACCAGCCACTCCGTGGGGGAAAGGTGTGGCAGGTTGCTTCTGTAAAGATTTATAGCCTTGGAAACCCTACTCTGTCTTACAGGGTCGCAACTGAGTTAGAATCAACTCCACGGCAGTGAGTTTTGGAATGTTAACATAAAAAACATGTTTTACGTAAGATAATTATATTTTTCAAAATAAAAAACTAGTACAGTGACATTGTTTTACCTTTTTTTCAAATTTCTTTAACATCTGGTTTAAGAGAAAACTAAGAATTTTCATATTTGCTTCTGTATTCAATCTGCTGTAATATCACACGTGAAAAAAATGGAAAAGGCAAACATCTTAACAGTTCATAAAGATAGTTTTAACCTCAATGACCCCTTGAAAGTCTTGAGGACTGCTTGGGGTCACCAGGACACTCTGAGAACTGCTGTCCTATAGCAACTATTAAAATAATCAAACACTGGGGGGTGGAGGTCGGAATGGAGAGTACCTGTTAACCGGTACAGAGTTGTTTTTGTTTTGTTTTTTTTTTAAATAAAGCTATTTTTTTAGAGCAGTTTTAGGTTTAAAGAAAAATTAAGCAGCAAATATAGAGTTACCATATACCCCCTTCCCAATGAATAGTTTCTATTATTAGCAACTTGCATTAGTGTGGTACATTTGTTCCAACTGATGAACCAATATCGTATCGATACATTATCATTAACTAAAGTTCATCGTTTAGATCAACCAATTGCCGCAGAGTCAACTCCAACTCATGGCGATGCAGGGTTTCTTTCTGGATGACGATAACGTTCTGAATTTAGATAGTAGTGATGGCTGCACAACTCTATGAATACACAAAAAACAAGTGACTTGTACACTTTAAAGGGGTGAATTTTATGAAACACGAATTATATCTCAATAAAGCTATTATAAAAACATAAATAATAAAACAAGGAGGTACTGCAAATGTAGGAATAAAAACAATTTTTTAAAAGCTCAAAAGCCGGCAGAAAAATAAAAAAGGAACATATTAGGTAAATAACAAATGACAAGATGATAAATTTAAATCCCAAACTTATGGATAATTACATTAAATAAAAGTGGTCTAAACGCTCCAATAAAAGGCAGAGACTGTCAGACTGTATAAAAAAGTAAGATTCATCTATGTGCTGTCTTCAAAAAAAATCCATTTGAAATATCAAGATTCAAATGGATTAAAAATAAAAGGATAGAAAAAGATATAAAATGCAAACAATAATTAAAAGAAATATGGAGTGGCTATATTAAGACCCGACAAAGCAGATCTCAGAACAGGGAATATTACCAAGGATAAAAAGGAACATTTCATAATAATAAAAGGTCAATTCATCAAGAAGACATTAACACACATACACATACACACAAATATACATATATAATTAAAGAATTTCAAAACACATGAAGCACAACCTGACAGAACTGAAAGAAATAATCAAATTGACAATTATAGCTGGAGATTTCAACACACTTTATAAAATAAGTAGACAAAAACTCAGTAAGGATATAGATGCCTGGAACAACACTATAAACTAACTTGACCTAAGTGATCAATACTTTACCAACAAGAGCAAAATACATACTTTTTTCAAGTGCACAAGAAACGTTCTCCACATGATTAAGCCATAAAAAAGTATCAATAAATTTCAGAGGACTGAAATAATACTGAGTATTGTATCCAATCACAACAGCATCAAATTAGAAATAAATAAGACAAGAATATCTAGAAAAGCCCCTAAATATTTAGAAATTCAACAAAGTAGTACAACCTATGGGTCAAAAAAGAAATCACAAGATAAATTTAAAAATATATTTAACTGAATGATGATAATAATAAAACACACAAAACTTATAGATACAGCTATAAGTGCTTAGAGAGAAATTTATCATTTTAAATGTCTATGTAAGCATAAAAATTATCTACATATACACCTTAAAAACAAAAAAAGCAATTTAAACCAAAGTAGAAAAAAAGGAAATAATTTTTTAAATGGCTATCGGTAAGATAGAAAATGGATAATATTAAATCAACAAAGTAAAAAATTAAAGATTTATTGATAAACCTTTAGCAAGACTAATAAAAAAATAAAAAACAAATTACTAATATCAGGAACGAAAGAGGAACATCAATAAAGATGCTATAGATATAAAAACAATACTTAATGACTAGTCTGGATATCATGAACAACTTTATGCCAATAAATTCAACATCACTAAAACAAATTCCTCGAAAGATAAAACTCACCAAAACTGAAATAAGAAAAAAGAGAAACTCTAGCCATATCTATTAAAGATATTGAGTATTAATCAAAGAAATTTCCACAAAGAAAACTCAGTCCCAGACAGAGTTGCTAGTTAAATTATTTCGAACATTTAAAGCAATATAAATCTTACATAAATTCATTTAGAAAAGGGAATACTTCCCAACTCTTTTAGTGTACCCAATATAACCCTAAAAACCAAATTAAAATGTTACAGAAAAATAAAATTACAGACTAATATCCCTCATAAACTTGTATGCAAGTATTCTTAAAAATATATCAGACTATTATATCCAGCAGTACATGAGAATACACTATGACTTAGTGGATTTATCCCATGTTGCAGTTCTCAAAGTGAGGTCTGCAACTCCTATTGGTCCCTGAGATTCTTTCAGAAAGTCAGTGAAGTCAAGTCTATTTTCATAATAATGCCAACATGTTATTTCCATTTTTTACTATGTTGACATCTACAGTGATGGTGCAAAAACAACAGAGGCTAAAACTGTTAGCAGCTTAGCTTTTATCAAGGCAGTGACATTAAAATGTGGTAGGAAAAATAATTTTATCATATTCCAACCTTTGAATACATGTTTTTTTTTTATATTCTACATTATGAAATGGGAAGTACCTGTAAAAAACTGCTGCTGCATACAAAAGTTCATAACTGTGTTAAGAATAAGCATTTGTGCAAATGTCTGAGTTGCAAACTGGAATTCTGAATATTATGGAATATCATTTTTACTTAAAATTGACAAAGTATTGTTTTTCAGAATTGAGTATTTAGCATTTTCTCAAAAATGAAAAGCGAGAGCTTGTCAGTTCAAGGAAAACAACTGATAATATTTATAGCTGCCAATGACAAAAATAGAGATTTCAAGTGAAAGTTAGAATTTTTATCTGCTACCATGAGCTTGGCAGCCTTCACATATTCAAAGACTTTTCTGATGAGACTGGTAGGCAATTTTTTGATAATGCATAATGAAATCTGTCAACATATATAAGAGCTAAATAACTCAGTAAACCAATATTTTCCAAATGACCATACAGATGTTACAATATCATGCATGAGTATGAGCTCCATTGTTAAGTGCAAAAGAGAACAGATTTTAATATACAAAAGGTAACTGATGTGGTTTCAGATTCTACCCTTGCAACTCACTTACAAATGCTGAGTTTTGGTGTAGTATGAAAGAAGAATGTACACAATTTTATTTGTAAAGACCATTACAATACTCCTCCTTTTCTAACTACATAATTATGTCAGGCCAATTTCCTTCAACCAAAACAACATATTATGAAAGACTGAACGCAGAAGCAAGTATGAGAATTCAGTTATCTTTTATTAAGCTAGATATTAAAGAGATTTGCAAAAATGTAAAACAAAGCCAGTCTTTTTAACTAATTTTTTGTTCTATTTTGGAAAATACTCTAAAAAATGAAATTAGTATGTAATGGGCTTGTTATTGTTATTTTTAAATAGATGAGTAAAATCTTTAAAACTCAGTTTTAATTTCTAATATGATAAATATCAATAGATATAATGCACATACATAAAAGCTCTTTGAGGTCCTCAATAATTTTTAAGAGTGTAAAGGTCTGCAGACCAAGTTTGAGAAATGCAGAACACAGGATGTCAAGGTTTAACAGTTAAAAATCAATGAAACTAACCACATTACAGAATAAAGGAGAAAAATCCTATGACCACCTTAATAAACAGCAGAAAAAAGCATCTGAAAAAATTCAAGTCATTCATAATAACAAGCCTCAGTGAACTAGGACAAGACAAAGATGTCTACTCTCACTTGTATTAAGCACTGTATTAGAAGTCCTAGCCAGTGAAATAGGGCAAGAAAAACAAAAGTCATACAGACTAGAAAGGGAGAATTAGAACTGCCTTTATTTGCACATTAACATGCTTGTTACATAGATAACCCTATCCCAACCAAACCAAACCCGTTGCCTTCGATTTGGTTCCAACTCATAGCAAACCTACAGAACAGAGCAGAACTGCCCAATAGGGTTTCCAAGGAGCAGCTGGTGATCTGAACTGCCAACCATTTGGTTAACGGTGGAGTTCTTAACCACTACACCAACAGGGCTCCAGATAACCCTAGAGAATCTACAAAAAACTACTGGAACTAGTCACTGAATTTAGCACGGTCACAGGATAACAATCAACTTACAAAAATCAGTTATATTCTAGCCACGAACATGGGAAAACATTTTTTTAATGTCATTTTCAATTGCATCAAGAAACATTAAGTTCCAAGACTCTAACAAAAGAGGTGCAAAATCTCTTTACTAAAAACTACAAAACTTGCTAAAAGAAATAAAGACCTAAATAAAAGGGAAAGTACACCATAATTAAGGATTTTAACACTCAGTACTGTTAAGATGTTCATTCTCCCCAAAATGAACTACAGATTCAATGCAATCTCAACAAAATACAAGGCATTTTGCGGAAACTGACAAACTTACTCTGAAATTTATAAAGAAAAGGAAAGGAGCTAAAATAAGTAAAATATTACTGGAAAAGGAGAAAAAAGTTGGAGAACGTATATTGTCTTATTTCAAGAATTATTAGAAAGCTTTAATAAAAATTATGTGTTATTCGTATAAATTTAATCAAGCAGATCAATAAAACAAGAGTCCAAATATAGACCTACAATCAATTTTCAAGACTCCAGCACAAGTCAATGGGAAAAGGAAAGTATTTTCAACAAATGGTGCTGAAATAACTGAATATATACATGGAAAAAAAGGTCATCTGGAATTTATTCTGGTGTAAAATTAGAAAACTGCATTATAAATGTTCTGGAGATTAATACTTACATTTTTTATTTTGATGTTTCCCCAATCATCATCCTGTTTTAAAAAACAAATAAAAAACATTTAACCACCTCTGCACAATCTAAACATAATCTCATAATAAACTAATTTTTAAGCTACTTTAAAATAGAATAAAATTTATTTGGTATGGAGATTTTATTTAAAATTATTGCAACCAAAAATATTTTAAAAAACAAAATACACACAGGCCTAAAGCTAGTAAGTCTAACAGTGGCTTAAACTGCACAAGAAAAGATAATTTGAAACAGAAAATAACAAGTACTGGCGAGGACATTGAGAAACTGGAATCCTTGTACACTGCTGGGTGGAAATGTAAAATGGTACAGCTGCTGTGGTCTGACAGTCCCACAAAAATTAAACATAATAATTACCATATGACCCAGAAATTCCACTCCTGGGTATTTATCCAAAAAAACTGAAAACAGGGACTCAAACAGATACTTGTATACCAATGTTCACTGCAGTATTATTCACAATAGCCAAAAGGTAGAAACAACTCAAGTGTCCATCAACAGATGAACAGAGAAAAATGTGGTATTATACATACAACAAATTACCTGGCCATAAAGAAAAATGAAATTCTGATACATGCAGTAACGCGTAGGAACCCTGAAAACATTATGCTAAGTGAAATAAGTCAGACACAAAAGGGCAAATGTTGCATGATTCCACTTAATATGAAATATCTAGAACAGGCAAATTCATGGAGTCAGACAGTAGATTAGAGGTTACCAGGGAATGCAGGAGAAAGGAATAGAGAGTTATTCCTTAATGGGTAGTTTCTCTCTGGGTAAAGAAAAAGTTTTGGAAATAGTGGTGATGGTTGGACAATACTGTGAGCGTATTTAATGTCACTGAATTGTACACTTAAAATAGTTAAAAAGGCAAATTTTATGTTGTATGTCTTACCAAAAAAAAAAAAAATACTGTAAAAAAAGGAGCAATCTGAAAGACAGTAAATTTGGAAGCACCAAAAGTACTAAAAAACGCTTGACTTATAACAAATGACAGATCCTAATTTTTGCGAGTCTTGAACCAGCAGAGCTAATTATTTAAATACTAGCTTATCTATCAGGAATGAAGAGTATCTTATGAAATAAGGTCTACCTTGATTAGGACTAAAAATTTATCACCCAAACCAGGAGAATAAGTGCTATTAAAAATTATACTAGGAGAGTAAACTACCCCAGGCAAACTGACCCTTAATAATATTTGTATGTCCACAAATGTTTCTCAAGTCCTAAATTTCATATCTATAAAGCAATTACATACTTTCCCTTCACTGTGCTCAATGAAATCAAGTTTGTTTTTAATGTAATGGTTGGTCCACAGATAGTTTAGCTTTACTACAGCTAATTCCTTCCCTTTGCAGGATACGGTCAGTTCCGTATTACTCCTTTCTTTTTACGGAAGGTGCCAGACACTTAATCCTCGTCTCCGCTTCACTGGTGTCATTAGTTATCTCTCTGGACACGCTGCTTCCTAAAGGCCCTTCTCAGTTTAAGGGCTATTACTGCTAAGCATAAGGAATGATAAAATATAAATGCACTCTCACATCACTTATCTGAGGTCACACAGCTGGAAATTGAACCTAGATGTGCTTGACTTGTAAATCACATGGTTATGGTACCTTACTATATACATTAGTTAAACCTGACACTCAGTTTCCTCATTTATAAAATATGAATAATTCATACACTTGAAAATTAAAGAAATGAAAAGCCTCACACAGAGTAAGTATTCAATAAATTGTAGCTATTAGTCATAGTTTCAATTAATTAGCATTTTTCCATAATTCTCCACAGCACCCAATATGGTACTCAGCACAAATTAAGTTATCAAGTTGACTAATAACCAAAGGCTCATACTGCAATTTAAAGGGAAACTTTTTATAGTGTTTGTTTTTTCACCAACATTTGTTTTACTGCCTGTTAGACAGAGGTAGCTACAGCTCTTCAGCATTTAATATCTAACCCTTGAAGTAAGTATTTTTAAAAAAAAACTATACTTATATAGTATTATGAACAATAATGAAAATATCTTTTCTGTGGCCCTTCATCAATGATGTAGGCAAAGCTTGGACTCTTAACCATAGTCACTGTAATCATTCCAAGCGAACAAAAAGAAACATTAGGATCCCTGTCTTTTTAAACCAATTTCTTCTCTCTCATCTCCGGGTAGGAGTTAGACAGTGATTCATCTTAAGAGAAAGGGGCTCTTCTTTAATGAGTAGGATACAAGAAGAAAGACCAATGAAAAAAATTTACAGTTTTTCAGTATTCCAGAACCAGGCCTTTGGTAAGGATGTTGAAGAACTCTGAATTTGTACATTCAAACGCATGTACGAAAACATATTCTGTAGTAGTCATTTTTAAAAAACAAATTTAACCTATTATTTCATATTTTTAACAAAGACAAAGTTTTCCATCCCTATAACAGAAATACACTAAGGAAACACAAACAAAATTTTATATTAGTCTAAACAAAATGAAACTAAATATTTTTAATCTTTTCCTCATAGGAAAAAAATGCAAACAGTACACATGAATGGAAAATGTGCCACTCCCTTCACCTCCAGAGATATCCATTGACACAATGCATTATAAAATTAATCCTTTCATAATAGTGTTTTGAAATACCTACAATAATCCTCCCTTACACTAAGATGAATAAAAAACCCATTGCCATTGAGTCAAATCCAACTTATGGTGATCCCACATATAAACCAGTTTTAATTGCATTGATTACATACTCTCCACAAATAACAAATACTTCAAATATTAAATTAACACTAAACATATTTTCAGATGTTATTATCACTCATCGTATAATAATAGTATGCCATGAATAACAGATTGAATTTTACCTTTAATGTTCCTCCTTTCACCATAACTTTCTGTCTGGCTGGCTGGACTCCAGTCAATGCAAAAAGCTGAGCCTTGAACACCATTGGAGGTTCATCAGTATTCAATTCTACGCCTTCGAATTTCTCCTTTCCCCATTTTACAGTAACTGCAAACAAAACCATAACTTATTTTTATTCATTTACACAACAATAAGATTTTAAATTCAGAATTAAGATTTTAAATTTAGGCTAGTTTTTGAAAGCCAATTTGTGTCATTCATCTTTTTGTCCTCATCATGCCTACCTAATCAAGAGCGGCTTGCGCGCAGTAGGTGGATCCTTAATAAAACTTTATTGGATCTAACCCAATTCATTTGATGAATAAGGAAACTGAGAATTAAGAGAAGTTGATTTGCTCATGTCACAAAAACCATTGCGACTGAGTTGATTAATGTCACAAAACTGGTTAGTAAATAATCAAGTCTTCTGAAACCTACTCCAATAATCTCGCAAAACATGATCACACTGAAATATTTTCCAAAATAAGGTTCTTTGGCCTTCAAGAATGTGTTTAATTAAATAATCATTAAAATCAGTACATACTGTTGGAAGAAAGAGGGGAAATGAAGGTTAGATAGTGTAAGAGAGAGTAAATAAAATTCTTGGGAGAATAAAACACATTTAGAACAAGTTAGGCATCCCTGGCTGGTGTAAATGGTTAACGCACTCAGCTGCTAACCCAAAGGTTGACAGTTCAAGTCTACCCAGAGGTACAAAGCCTTGGTGATCTATTTCCAAAAAGTCAGCCACTGAAAACCCTATGGAGCAAAGTTCTATTCTAACACACATGGGGTTGCCATAAATCAGAAGAGACTTGACAACAAGTTTAGAAATACAGGTTCTGGATTGTAAGAAGAGAGAGAACTAAAACGTGTGGTTTCTGAGCAAGCAGTGCTTAAATATTTTGTGAAGAATCCATCATTAAATCCATATCATTAAAACATATACATCAAATTTCAATCAGCTACATAAAATAGCTAACTTTTGAAATACGTAAAAGCAGTAAACTCAGAGGCATACATAGTTCGTTTTCACTGAAAACTGTATACCTACTCAAAATGAGAATCTTAAAATAATTGCCTGATTTCCAACTTCAGAAATTAGAATTTGAAAAACTGACACTGACTCCAAATTCTATCACCAGTTTGGCAAATGTGCTGAGCAAAGTTTTATTAAGGACCCACCTACTGCACACAAGCCACTCTTGAATTAGGTAGGCATGATAAGGATAAAACACAAATTGGCTTTCAAGAACTAGCTTAAGAACTGTACCAAGCACTTGGGAGACTCCTACGAGCCCATTAAGGGAGAGAGGCAGGGGAAGAAAGTTTCTAATGATTAATGGTACAACAGTAATGCTATAAATGCTACAGGAGCACAGAGGAAGGCTTCATGAGTGAGGTAAGATTTCCTAGAATAAGTGATAACTGAAAGAAAAAATTAGATGTTAGAGGAATAAGAGAGAGTAAGAGCATTCCTGAAAAAAAAGAAACACATTCAAAAGCATAAAGCAGCATGGTGTGTTCTGAGATATAATTCCAGAATGAAGGGGAGTAGATGAAACTGGAAGCTGGCTAAGCAACAAGTCAAGAAAAGTAACATAAGTCATGCTAAAATGTATGGACTTAATGTTGGAGAAAATATGTAATCCCTGAAAGGTCATTTTGGTCTGGCTTCAATATTAGATCACTGACAGCAGCAGGGAAAATGGGTTTGAAGGGGACGCAACTGACTCACTGATATCAGCTAGAAACATATTACAACAGTTCAAGCAAAAGATAATATAGGACTAAAACAAAACAGTGTTAGAAATAAAGGAGAGGAACCTATCTGAAATTTATTTAGTTGTTTAACCCTGAGTAAGTTAATTAAACTTTTTGCTTATCCATAAAGAGGAATACAGTACCAGCATTACAGGATTATGCTGAAAATTAAAACAATGCAACATAAGATTATGTTGAAGATTAAAACAAAGCTACATGTGTAAAACTCTAGTTCTGCACCAAGCACACAGCTATCTGATAATTTTTATGGCACTTATCCTCAACCATATAAAAATCTGGATATTTAATTTTCTATTAAAACATGAAATAGTACTTAAAATGTTCACTCCATTTTAATACAAGGCTTTTTGTTGAACCTGAAACATAGATTCTCAATATGGAGACATCAAATAAAGAGATCTCAGAAATCTACATCAACTCCCTCATTTTGGAGATGAAAAAAAGATCCAGTCAGGCTGATCAAATGTTGAAGATAGAACTTAACTTTTAAGATAGAAACTTTAGTGAGTGCAGGCCTTTTTGGGTGGGCAACAAAGAGAAGGGTTGGTTTGTGGGTGGGTGGGTGGGTGTGTGTGTGTTAGCATACACTCTTCTTTATAGCCGTTATCCTTTGCCATCAAGTCAACTCTGACTCACAGTGACTCCACAGAACAGAGCAGAAATGCCCCATAGGGTCTCCAAGACTGTACATCTTTAGGGAAGCAGACTGTCAACATTTTACTCCCACAGAGCGGGCTGGTGGGTTTGAAGCCGCTGATCTTTCGATAGCAGGAGAGCGCTTAACCACTGCGCTACCATAGCTCCTTCTATCGCCATTACTTAATGCATAAATAGGATATTTTCAAACATCGTTCTACTGGACAATGATTACTAAAAGTATACCATTCAAGATTCTAGACCACCAAAAATCCACCTTGAGGTAAAACATTACTCCTTTAATTCCTATCGTTCTTGGAAAATGCTGAATCTATTAAATAAAGGAATTGTGACACAGCAGAGTCAGAGATGGTCAATGAATCACACATTCATAGCCAATCGGAGCCAACACACATTTTAGGTGCCATTTTGAATAAAGACTGGGAACAGCAAAATCGATTCACCAAGTAAAAATGTGAAGCCTGGCCAGTACCTTGGACTGCCATCATCCAAAAATGCCCTGTCAAACACCAATTAAAAAGAACTGATACCGGCGTACATTTCTATTTATATTCCTCTCAAAGCTAACACTATGCTTCGGACACAGACGCCCAAAATAATGTTTGATTAAATAAAAATGAAGCAAAAGGCAGCTTCGTATAATCTGCCTCGGGACAAAACTGAAATAGGTGCAAAAGGAGCGGTTGGGCCAAAGTGACCAAGGGGTACGCGAAGGGGGAAGGGAAGCCATTGAGCAAAACGCCAAGACCTAGGAAGGCTAACCTTACAGCCCGGGTCTCTCATCCCTCCCTCACCTCAGGCTTCCCCTTCTTCCCCGCCTCCCTTCCACAGCTACCACGGAAAGCCCAAAGAAATCGCACTACACCTTCACCCTGGCCCGCGGTGCCCCGCAGCACACCCTTGCCTTTCCCGACACTCTAGGACAGCGACAGCAAACTACTCTGCAGAGTCACGACTCCGAAAGGCCGACACTAGCTGCTTCCCCACCTCGGACTCCCGCTCCCGCACCACCCACCCGCTGGCCCAAGACGGAAAGCTCTCCCACGCGTCGGGGGGCTCAGAACTAGGAAGGCGAGAGGAAGGTGTGGAGGCATCTCGACGCCGCGGTCCCCTGCTCACCCCGCCCTCCTCTTCCCCGCCCCGGCCCCGTCGCCGCCTCCGCAGGGCCAGGCCTACTCAGAGGCCTAGCGTCGGGCCGGGACACCGCGGCGCGAGGCGAGGACGGAGCTCACCAGAGTAGAGCGGCATGGCAGGAACCGAGGGGAAGCAGTGGAGCAGGAAAGCTGCACCTGGCAGGAGCGGCGAAGGGAAAGGAACGAGAAGCAGCAGCAGCGGCGACAGAGGTTGAGGCACGGTAGCGGCGATAGCGGCAGCTCTGGCGCGACAAGAGTCTCATTCAAACCGGCCACTGGCGATGACGCAGCAGCATGCAGTTCGCCGGGCGGAATCGCCGGACTACTGCGGGGAGGAGGCAAGGCGCGGACGAGCGAGGCCGCGCCTGAGGAAGGAAGGAGGAGGGAGGTGGGAAGAAGGGCTGACGGCGGGGAGGGGAGAGAAAGGGGGGAGGGGAGGGGGTGGACGGTGGGAGGGGCGGCGCGGGGCTCAGCCCGGCTGCTACAGGTGTGCGCGTGCGCACTGACGCCCCCGCGCCGTGCCGCCTGCCCACATGGTCTGGATTCCGCCTGCCCGCGTGGTTTGGACTCCGCCTGCTCTGGTCGCAATGGGAGGGAAACGTAGTATTGCGATGGCTGCCTTTTTTAAAAAAGTAATTTCCTCCGTTTTCGAAACGGTCGGCCAGTATGGCTCCGGGTTTTTTTCTTGTTAATATAGCAAGTAGAAAAACTGGGAGTAAAGAGGCCTTGCTCCGCCCCGCAACTTGGTGTACTTGTTAATGAAAATGTTTAGCCCTCCCGTTCGTAGTTGACAAAAATAAATGTGAAAGCGCTTAGAATACTTAAGGGATAGATCTGCTTCGATTATAATGTATTACAAGTGTTTCCAACAACCAGTTCAGACCGTAGGATGAGTCTAGTAACCCGCTGCCATAGAGTTGATTCCGACTCAGTGACCCTAAAGGACAGAGAACTGCTCCAGAGGGTTTCCAAGCAGCGCTTGGTGGATTCGAACTGCCGACCTTTTGGTTAGCAGCCATAGCTCTTAACCACTACACCACCAGGGTTTCCAAATCTAGCAAGATAGTAGAAAAAACACCAAATGCAGCCCTGCCCCGACTAAAAAAAACCAAGTCCGTTGCCGTGGAGTCCATTTCGACTTATAGCAACCCTACAGGGCAGAGTAGAACTGCCCCATAGGGTTTCCAAGGAGCGGCTGGTGGATTCGAACTGCCAGTCTTTTGGTTAGCAGCAGAAACGGTTAACCACTGCTCCCATGGAAATTACCTCTTCTTTAATTGCCTTGGACCTGTAAAATGAGGAAATTAGAAAGTTTCTGAAGCCTTTTCCAATTCTTACATTTTCATGCATAAATAAACCCAAACATTTTAAATGAATTAAAGAGGAAATACAACCTGTAACTGAATGGAGAAATTTAAAAGAAATGAAAGTTAGAATTGAGGTTCTTTCTTGCCTAATAATAAAAAGTTATATAATAATCCTGAATACTGGAAAAGATGTGTTAAAACAACCATTCTCATAAATTCTCCATAATATTTCAAAACAATACAACCCTTTTGGGAAACAATTTTATTAATTTAACATCAGGAGTCTTATTCACCCTTCCACCACTACCTCAAGACCTGTCCTAAGAATACAATCCAAAATGTCACCAGAACAACACAAACAAGTTGCACACAGCATTACTTAAACAATATTTGTAATAGTAAGTGAAAAGGGTATCAAATTTATTGAGCATTATGATCTTAAGTAGACAGAATTAATGATTATGGAGTTAGACCTGTCTTAAATCCCAGTTGGTACTTTCTATCGTACGACCTTGGGCAAGTTACTCAACTTCTCTGAGGCTCAGTTTTCTTCTCTATTGGTCTGTTTTCTATGCAAATAGGATATGTAAAACCACCAATAGGTTTAAGTGACCTTGTAGGGATTGGTCAGTTTGTGGCCTGGCTGGGAAGGCAATAACTTGAAATTGAATATAAGGGCCAATATAAGGGCTTGCTGGCGGAACACAGGATTGTTGTGAGGATTACATATAGAAAATGCTTAGCACAGTTCATTGCACACAAAAAATAAATAAGCATTAGCTACTACAGTCGTTTAAAGGGATTGTGCAATGAGTGGTTAGACTAGCAGGCTAGGGTAACTTTATTTTCTAAGTGTTCACTAACATATTTCTATAAAATATGTTGTTGTGTGCCGTCAAGTCAATTCCAATTCATAGCAACCCTATAAAACCAAAACCCGTTGTTGTCGACTTGATTCCGACTCATAGCGACACTACAGGAAAGAGTAAAACTGCTTCATAAAGTTTTCTAGACTGTAATCTTTATGAGAGCACATCACCAGGTCTTTTCTCCCATGGGGCCACTGGTGGGTTTGAACTGCCAACCTTTTGATTAGCAGCCAAGTGCCTAATCATTCTGCCACCAGGGCTCCTTCCTATAAAATGTATCTTTGAAACTATATTATCATAGATCTAATGTGGAAAAATTTTTACTGCACTTTATTGAAGTTAACAGGGAAAATCAAGTGTAAATCATCCTACTAGATCCCCTATCCTGTGCTCACATTGCACCCTGTGTTTTCCCTTGGGTAACTTGTCATACTTACATTTCCTTAATGTCTGTA